GTCGTCCAGTCAATTCGCGGGTTATACCGTCGCAGCCAATCACGTCCCAGTAAAATGTCGTGCCCATCCAGTGTCGTCGCGAGCATTCCGTGTATAAACCCGAAATTCCCCCCGCAGCGGACTTTGACTCTCTCCACCATTTCCCGTATGGCCAGTGGCGTGCCGTCAAATCGGCGTGCATCTATCTCTGGTTAGCACCGGCTAAGTGTCAGTTGCAGTTTCCGTGCGGTTGCGGTATTAACTAAACGGTGACTTGCTCCTTCGTCAATAAAAATCTTCACTGCTGCTCCCTGTATTTTCCCATGGATCAGTACTGGGCAATCCGTCGATGTACCCTCCTTATTCGTCCGAGCCCGATCGATAGCATGAATCGGTACTGTGACTCGGTGAGGATCGGTGGGGTTGGGCGAGCAGGCAGTCTCGTCAGTAGCTGGCCCGATTCCTACTGACTGCTGGCGTTTCCCTGCCTTGGAGACTCCCTCCCCTGCTCTGCTCCGCGGCGCCTCAGCTCCTCTGGGCTTTCACTCTTGCGATGGCCCGGCCTGTTGCAAGCAAAGCAGCGCCCTTTAAATAGCGCGGCAGCTGTATTTGTCGCAGCGGCATGTACGGTGGCGTGCTCGATCGGTCCCCGAGGGTGATGTCCGTAGTAGGACCCCGGTCTCGGACGGCGCAAAATGTCGATTTTCTCGGCGAGCGCGAGAATCTCGTTGAAATTCGAGAGTCCGCGTAGCATGATTTCGTGCGAGATGTCCGGCTTCAACCCTCCAACGTAACGGTCCACCCTCTCCGCTTCGTGCATGTAGCCGACTTGCTCGCATAATGCGAGAAAACCGCTCGTGTAGTCTTGGACCGACCCGAGCTGCCGCCAAGTACCCAGTTTCTGACGCGCCAAAATAGAAGCCGCGATTGGCTCGAAGCGCGCCCGAAGCCCTGCGCACCACGCATCCCACGTGCTGTACTGGGCGGTTTCGCAGAATGAACTCCAGGTGACGGCTGGACCCGCAGGCACTTCCTCTTGCGACGGTGGCTCGTAGGCGTGTGGCGACGTCACGATGACTCGCCACCAGTCCATGGCGGGGCCTCTTAGCAGCGAGACGGCGTATCTAATCTTCGCTGCGTCCAACTCGACATAATTTGCGTCGAAGAATACGTTCATCGTGAAGACCCACGACTGAACTGTCGGACCTCCACGCTGGCTCGGGTCGAAACAAGGCGGACGTTGCGGCTTGAGTGGCATTGGCGCCATGATGGCGTGGTTGCCGCTTGTCGCTGCAAATTCCACGTGCCAACGGGCTTCGCGAGGCTCCCGTGGGCTTGGCGCGGCCCTGTTCCTTTCCATGCCAGGCATCGAGTGGGCGGCGCCATCACTTGGTGCGCCTGAGCGTTGTCCCACGCTGTCATTCTGTGTCGGTGTGCCTGATGAAATGATGATCGGCTCCTCCGATTGTGTAGGTGCATTTGCAGGTGCGTGTGGTGGCGCCGGAGTATTCACCGTGGATTGCTGACGCGCGGAGTCACGTTCCGCCGTGAGCGTCGCAATTTCGAGCGCCGACTCCTCATCTTGGCGCACGAGACGGTCGAGTTGCTCCTGCGTCAGTGTCGCGAGAGTGAATTCGGCCATGGCGGGGGTGTCGGGCAAATTCAGCGAGAGCCTCTGTCGTGGCCGTGCGTGCTTACGAGAGAGCACTACGAGCGGCGGTGCTGTGTCGCTGAGAGACGTCTACCCCCCCCCAAAAAATTGAGATAGTGGGGAAAACGAAGGTGTGGGTGCGGTCCGAGAAGAGATCGTAGGCTCTGAATACCAAGTGTTACGAGTGCAATTGAGTGATCGAACGAGAATTGCACTATCGAAGCAAAAATTACAATGAGCGAAGGCGTGAGCGAAGAATATATAGCAAAACTATAGTGGTAATGGTAATGAACTGTGGGTGACGCGCGACGGGCCTGGAACCGAGGTTTGGGAAAATGTCGAGGCGGAGGCCCGGAGCGCGGGTTACCCGCCGAGCCGTGAGGTCGGGGTGCGACGTGCGAAGGTGGCGGGAGGATTGTCGATGCGAGGGTTGCGAGTGGTAACGGTGCTGACTGTGGTGCTACAGTGGTGTACGCGCTGAGCGGGGCGCGAAGTAAGGAAAAGGAATTTTCCTTACAAGTGCACATTTAAGATTGTAACACCCCCGTGCGCCTGGGCAGCAACAAACACGCCCCACGTCGTTTCTTGCAGCTCGAGTGGGCCTACTCTCACGAGTTTCCAACTGTACCACATTGTACCACAATTTCGCCCACCTTCCACACTCGCTTCCTCCAGTGGGCCAACTTCGCCACTGCCATTCCACGGCACTGCGACAAAAACTACGCCCTCGAATCGCAAGACTGGCACTACTGCTCTCCCTTATCCCCTCAAATCACCATTGGAAACTAGACGTTGCAAACTCCACAGAACCTAGTTGTGTCTGCGTAGTCATGCAATGCTAGGCTATGATCCTTCCCGACAGTTATCGTTTTGATCCTACTGGTCCATGCGGAAGCCTTGTTTCCCTTCCCTGTCTTCGGGAAACGAGGAGAGTTCTGGTGGGCGAGGCAACGCGACCGAGGGAGAACGACGCACGCTTCACCAGATGGGTACAAATCTATCCTTAAGTTTTCTGACGGGACCAATCCACCGTCCACCGCACTTATCTGCTAAACTCAGCAGTGCGCGACATTTACCACGGGTTTCGCGAGATGAGAGCGACGCGGCAATATGAGACGCCAAGCTACCAGTATGTAGCCCTACACAAATCGCGCATTCCCGTGCATTCCCCTCCCCCACTTGGGTTCCCCACTCTTCAGGAACTTCGAGAAACATGCTGCTTGGCCTTACCTCTCATCCGACGAGTAGATAATCCCACAACCAGAACCCGTTTTACCTGATACCAACCCTTCACATCGTATTTTCTACCATCAATCCTTCTGGAATTGTAACTCATCAGCCCCGCAAAGCCTGCTGGTTCTCGCGACCGTCGCCGCGTGCCTCCTGTCATCCGTCAACCACTCCGCGGCGCAGACGGAGCCGTTCCTCGTGACCAAGGCTCGCAGCGCGCGCGCATTCGCCGCCAACTGCACTAACGACTCGCTCAAGGCCAACGCGACCGCGGCGCAGAGGGCGCAGGAGCTGCTCGCGGCGAACGCCACTCTCGCCGCCGCCATCGCCGCGTATAGCGACGCAGTGCCGCTTGTCAACCGTCTTAAGCTCGTGCTCACCGGCAAGATCTCCGCAGCGAACGAGACGGCCGCGAAGATTCAGTCGCTACAGGAAATCACGGAGGAGCAGCAGGCGCGGCTCGACAAAATCGTGGCGGAGAGCAGCAACGAGACGGCGCTGAAGCAGGCTGTGTCGGACGCGAAGCGACGGGTTGCCATGGCGGCACGAATCATTGACGACCAGACGGCCGCTATCGCCGGCTTTAAGTTCGACGTCTACAAGGCGGCTCGGAGGGCTGCCGATTCGAGCCTCACGGGCGCAGATCTGACCGACGCGCAGGACGATCTAGAGACGGCGAAAGCACAGAAGGCCGACGCGGAGGCGCTTCTGGCAGATATGACTAAACAGGCGGCGCGGGCGCAGGCTTTTCTCTCTAAGAAGCTAAAAGTTCTCGAGGACCCCGCGAGCGTCCAGAAGGAAATTGCCGCGCAGCAGCACGTAATCGATGACGCTAAGTTTGAGCTGGACGAAGCCGCTGCGCCGTATGAGGATGCCAAGGCTGCGGTGATTCAGGCCCAGGCCGACGTGAGCTACGCGAATGCGTCTATTCCTGCCATGTCCGCAAATGTGAGCAACGCGAAGATTCTGCAGAGCAAGGCGGTGAGTAACAAGAACAGCGCGGACTCGGCGGCGAATCTTATGGCTTCTCGCGCGTACAACGCCACGCTCGCTGCTCAGCAGGCTGAGGCAGCTGCTAAGTCTGCGGGTTACACGTGGGTGTGGTAAGTAAGGACGTCTCTAAGGGCGTGTAACTTTTTCGATTTGCAAAGTACGGACGTCTGGCCCGTACGGACTTGGAAAGGGTTACTGTCTTCGCTAATATTCGTTTACAACTTCGCCAGATCCCCTGCGACGTCGCCAATGTACGAACCACCACAGCCACTTTCACGCCTCCCACTCGTCCGTTCAACAGTCCTGACAGTGTCCGGACTTCCGTCCGTACTGTCAAACGTCTCTGACACCCCATTGGCGCGCGAAAAAAGAAAAGCAGAAGTCATTGCGGCTCGATTTCCCCGCACAAAATTCCGTCGCCACGACGCGCCCCATACACATTTGGAGGGAGCACAAATTGCTCCAACGTCGACTTCCCCATTGCCGAGGCGCGGTTGGTGTTGGGCGACTTTGACGAGGGGGTAGCGACAGTGGTAGAGTGTGTAACTTGTCGCATGTTTTTCAATTTTCGAAAGCATGAAAAGTTCCACAAATGTGGAACGTACGGCACAACGTCCGAACCACACTCCCAAACGTACGTACGGGGCACAGTCCGTACGTTTGGTAGGCTCCGAACGTACTTTTAACGTAAACTGAAAAAGTTACACGCCCTAAGTAGCACGAGCGAAAGCTGATGAGTGAGAAGCGTCTTCCTAGACCGACTCGTCAGTTTCGGGGGGCTTCCGAATAAGTTCGCAATTCAGCGTATCTACAGCTGGCGTATTCTGTTTTGATTTTATTAATGCAATTGATCTTCACCAGATACAGAGGAAGCGGATTAAAATAGCTGGATATGTTCACCTATAAACAGCTTATTGATTGAACGACGTCAACTGTAGGCAGGTAATGTGTATTGCCTTCAAACAACACTTTTTCTGCAATGCAATTGCCAGCTGTAACAAAACATCCACTCGTGCGTTTGCATGTATCGGGTCCTGCACTAACCTAGCTCTACCCTACCCCTCCTCAACTCGCCACAGCTCTCCTCAAGAGAGCGGATGCTAGGGTATCTAAGAGGTCGAAAGTTGCAATGGCATGCCATGGCACCTCAGGCCGTGGCAGCTGCAGCAGCGCAGAGCTTCTCCTCCAGGCCTGGCCGAACCTGGCGCTTGGCGGAGAGGAGGCGGTGCTCCAGGGCTTGCAGGGCCGGCAGCGAGAGCACAAGGGCATCATGCTGCACAATGCTGTACACGTTCAGACCCTGGTGGGATGGGCCGTTGCGTGAGTATGGGCACCGGTATGGGTGTGGGTATGGGTATGGGTATGGGTATGGGTATGGGTATGGGTATGGGTTGGACGACGGCATACAGATGGGAGAATACAGTGATGGGAAGAGGGACGCAGGGAATTTTTCAAAGCAATAGCACGAGAGCGCCGTGCTGCACGATGCTGCTCACGTTCAGTCCCTGGTGGGATGGGTTGTACGCAGATGGGTATGGGCAGCACAAAGGAGACATTACAGTGAGGCGAACTCTCACGATGGCACGAGGGTGTCGTGCTGCAGTATGCTGCTCACGTTCAGACCCTGGTGGGAGGGTTGATGGGCACACATGGTGTAATGGAAGGATGAGACACGGAGGAACTACAAGTGCATCATGCCGCACTATGCTGTACACACTCATACCCTGGTGGGGTGGGTCACGGGTATGGGCAAAAGGGCATGTACGATGTAAGAGGGTTATGGGCGATCAGCATGGGCAATGGCACACATATGGGGCAGTGGAGTGCGGTGCAGTGCAATTCAGTCCAGTGCATGGAAGAAAGTAGATCTGGGGGGAAGGGGGTAACTCAGAAGCAACTCACCACAACTGGCAGAACATTCACATAGTGCAGGTTCCCAGATGCCCGCAGCAAAGTTTCATCTGCCCGTTGCGACCCGTCGACGAAAAGGATCTTCTTTGACTCAGGGAACGCCGTGGCAATGTGCTGCGCCATGACTTTCGTTTTCGGGCTGCCCGGATCCAAATCAGAGTATAGGACCAGCTGGTTGGGGAAGGGAGTGATAGGGCGAGGGGTAGGGAGAGTGAGAGGGAGATTGAGAGGGGAGAGCGAGAGGGGAGTTGAGAGGAAGAGGGAGAGGGAGAGCTAGTAAGAAGTACAGGAAAACTGCCACACAGAGAGGGACAACAGAGGGTAGCTCGAGGATCAAACAACAGGCATCAGAAACACTGCGCTCTCACCTGTCCTTCTCTCACCAGAAACACAGAGCTGCCTTGAACCCGAGCGCGCGGACCTACTTGTTGAGAGTGCAGCTTGAAACACAGGAGGTGGACACGGCTCCATAGGTCAGCATACATTGCACAGCACACTGCACTCTCACCTGCCCCTCCCTCAGCCGCGCCAACAGTGCTGCCTTGAGCCCCAGCGCTCAAACCTTCTTGTTGAGCGAGAAGGCGGGAACACAGGGCGTGGACAAGGCACAGGGGATCAACACAGCACACTGCACTCTCACCTGTCCTTCCCTCAGCCGCGCCGACAGCGCTGCTTTGAGCCCGAGTGCGCGGACCTTCTTGTTGAGCGAGAAGGCGTGCGAGCGCGGCTTGGGGCCGTGCATGGCGGCTCCACCGCGGAACTGGTGGGGGGGGTAAGTGGTGGGGGAGGGGGGGTGATTGAGTGAGTGGGTGCATTGGCATGGCAAGGAGAGGTGGCTAGGGGCCGTGCATGGTGACTCCGCCCCGGAACTGGTGGGAGAAAGGGGTTTGTGGCGGACGGGGAAATGGGGTGCGACAAATGTGAGGAGGTGGCTTGGGGCTGTGCATGGCGGCTCCGCCCCGAAACTGGTGGGGAGAGGAGCGGGGATAGGGGGAAGGGAAACGAGGTGCAACGAGTGAGAGGGTTGGTATTGCGAGAGGGTGGTTAGAAGCAGTGCACTGTGCATGGTGGCATGCCACTGCCTAGGAAGTGAGAGTGCGTGGGTCAGGGGCTGGACGGGCCGGAAAGTGCTGGCAGCAGGGCAAGCAAGGGAAGAAGGGACACGGGGCCGGGCGCAGCACAAAGGATAGAGGGCAATAGGTGGGTGGAGCAGAGGGTGGCTGAGCTGTGAACAGGCACAGCATGTGATACGGCAACCCATGCGATGTTTGCTGTCTAACTGACGAGCCAGCCCCACACCCGCGGACCACTGCCCAAGCCCTGTCTCGCCCGCCCCGTGCCCTTGTGCTTCCTCAGGCGCCTCACAAGTCACTGATCGTAATAACGGGCAGTATTGGTACCCAAGTCAACCCCTCACCTGCAGCAGTCCCCTCACCCCTCACCTGCAGCAGTCCCCTCACCCCTCACCTGCAGCAGTCCCCTCACCCCTCACCTGCGGCCCTCGCCGTGACCCATGCCTGGCTCGCCCCGTGCCCTTCTGCTTCACAAGTCAGTAACAGTAATACCGGGCAGTACCGTTCAGCACCGAGCAGCAAGCCAGTCCACGCCCCTCACCTGCGGCCCTCGGCGGGACCCGTGTCGGGCGCGCCCCGTGCCCTTCTGCTTCCACGGCTTGCTGGACGACCCCCGCACCTCGCACGCGCGCTTCGTGCTGTGCATGCCCTGCGCGGGTGGAGAGGAGCAGGGTGGAATAGGGGGTGAGTGAGGGGTTGAGTGCGAGGGAATGAGGAGGGGGGACCGATGAGGCTTGCTGGACGACCCTCGCACCTTGCACGCCCGCTTCGTGCTGTGCGTGCCCTGCGGGGGAGGGGGGGAGAGGAGTGTGGAATGAGGGAATGAGTGGGGGGGGAGTGAGGTGGTGAGGACGAGACAGCGAGGCTTGCTGGACCACTCTCTCACCGCGCCCACCCATTGCAACGCCATCCCAACCACCCAGAACCCATTACAATGCAATTCACCACCCACTCCATCCTCTCCGCCCCTACCCTCGTCCCCTCTCTTAGCCTCCGCCCTCCCCAAACCCCGTACTCCTCTTCCCCCTACCCAATCCCCCGCACTCCTCTCCCCCGCACCTGGCGGCGCTTCGCGAGCTGCCAGAGCACCACGCGGTGCACGATGTCTCTCCGTACAGGCACGTCGAATATAGTCCCATCCAGCACCGCCTCTCCGCGCGCCTCCCCGCTGAAGCTCCGCACCGCCACGCGCCTGTCGCGGTACGTTCCCCACTCCGCCTCCCCCGCTTCTTCCCCCGCGCCGATCACCTCCCCCGCTGCTACATCCGCTCCTGAGGCTGGATTTCCGCTTTCCGAGGCTGCGCTTGCCGAACCTACTGCACCTTCCGAGCCTGCGGAAACACCCTCGGCTGCATTTCCGCTTGCTGCTGCTGCGAATGCCACGTCAGGTCCTTTGCCTGAATCCGACGAGAACCATCGTTGTTGCGACGTGCTTACGAAGCAGATCGAGTTGTCGCGGAGTCGCGTGCTTGCTGGCGACGTCGCACTGCGAATCGCAAATGATCGCACGATCTGTCGCGTGCTGGCGACGAACGGAGACGCGTGGACCCAATGAGAAGGCGGAGCGGCGGGCGAGAAAGCGGCCTCAAGGCCAATCGAGAGATCACCACGAATCACGGCGCGTGCTGACGATATTTGGGGTATCAGTGACTGCTGGCTGGCGGTGCGGGAGAAAGTGCGAGAGTGAGGGGATGGCGGGGAAGTTTGAACGAGAGACGCGCGGGAACAGGACGAGGGCGAGGGGGTCGGAAGATGCGAGGACGAGGAAGCACGGCTGGCGGAACCCCTTAGCAGCCGCGCAGCTATTCGGGCGGCCATGGCGAAAATCGTCCCAGCGCAACTGGCGGTGATGCAGTTTCAAGGAGAACAACTATGTGTGAATCAGATGTACCCGTTATGGAATATACTCCCCATAAAAATGAACGCTCCCCAAAAAACAGTTATTTCGCTTTGATGAATATCCAATCCCAAATGAAACTGGTTAGCGAAACTGTTACCCTACTTCTAAAAACCTCAAGCTCAATCACTTCGCATCCAACCAAGGAAGGCGTTGTGTTTCGCTCAGTAGTCTTGATTCGCCTCATCCTCCCTGCGCATCCATGGGTCCTCCCCTTCGCACCATGATTTCCTCGATTGTTCTTAACCAATCAGCACATGCCGCGTAACAAGCATTTTCGAACTTTCCCCAAACGCGCGGCCCTCCTGGCTCGCTCGGCACAAGTCAGAGAATCCACCACAGTCGGCACTTTCCGAGCTCGAAGGAACTAGAGAATTGAGAGTCGAGATTGCCGCCAGTTCTGCACTTACGAGTAGCTCTAGGGTAGCTTTCGCCTAAGCTCTAGGGATATTCGTTGTCTCAGGTGGCTGCTGTTGCGTGGAAGCTTTATAAATTCCTTTAGATACTCGAACATCCTTTTTCCGTTGCAACAATCCGCGCCACCACGTCCCGCTGAAGCCTCCGCCTTCCCCTTCCTTCCGCTTCCGTCATGTCGGGAGCCGCGCTGGCGCAGGGTTCCGTCGCAGCCTCCGCGCAGACCGCGCGGGGAGCGCACCAATCGCTAATCGCCGATCATTCTCGTCGCAGCGCGCGTTTGTCCAGCAGAGCAGCAACCGCAACACGGCTGCCTCTCGTAAGCAACTCCGGCGCTGCACTGCGGAGCGAGACCCGGCGCGCGTTCCACCACAGCGCGGCGCGGCGCGTGGCGGTGGCGTCGCTGGCGGAGGAGGAGCGGGAGCTGGAGGCGGTGGAAGCGCTTTCAGACGCAAATTGGGCGCACATGAGTGCCACGTGGAGCCAGCAAGTCCAGTTGGACGAGAAAGAGAAGCCACTAGGTGCGATCATGGAGCCCTTGAAGGGAAAAAGGCTGAGATTAAAGACGTCTGAAAATTAGAAGCGAGGGTGTGTAGCAGAGGAGCTCGAGTTTTGCATCAGCCAGACCGGGCCGCGAATTCGTGCGCGGAACCCGCAGCACTCGTTATCCGGCCCAGGTTTCCCTCGCCTTTCCTCCGCCCTGTCGCCGCGCTTTCTTCCGCAAACCGCGCCCTTGCGGGAGTAACACACCTGTGCCCTCTTCCCCCCATCAGACCCATCCGGCTCTTCCTTCACCCATTCCCCTCCTTCCTCCGCCGTTGCGCGCAGCGGAGTACATGACGCTGCCCGCGTCGCAGTACTCGATGCTGGACGCGGAGCGCATCGAGCGCGTGGCATGGCATGACATAGCATGTGCCCTCTCCCCCCCCATTGTCCCTTCCCGCCCTCCCTTTCAGCGGAGTACATGACCCTCCCCGCGTCGCAATATTCCGTGCTGGACGCGGAGCGCATCGAGCGCGTGGACAGCAGCACGTTCCGCTGCTACGCGCACCGCGTGCAGTTCTTCAGCGTGGAGATCTGCCCCGTGCTGCTCGTGCGCGTCGACGAGGAGGCCGATGGGTGCACCATCCGCCTGCTTTCCGCCACGGTGAGCGCGGGCGGGGAGGCGCAGGGGGGGAGGGAAGCACGGGGAAAGCACGGGGGGAATTAGGGGAAGGGGGAACACAGGGTGGGGAGCAGCACTAAGGAACAGAGGGCGGACGGGCGCACCATCCGCCAGCTCTCCGCCATGGTAGGCGTGGGCGGAAGAGGCAAGCAGCGCAGGGGGAGGGGAAGCGCGGGTAGGGGGAGCAAGGGAGGCGGAAGGCTGCACGTGAGGCTTCTCTCCGCCGCTGTAAGAGACAAGCAGCGCAGGGGGAGGGGGAGGGCAGGGGGAGCGCAGGGGGAGGAAGGCAGCGTAGGGGGAAGGAAAGCGCAGGTAGGGGGTGCGGAGGGGGAGGTGGACGGCTGCACCATCCGCCTGCTCTCCGCCAGTATATGGGGAGGCAAAGGGAGGCCCGGAGGGGGCGAGGGGGAGGAAGTAGCGTGATTAGTTCTGTCGGCCACCAGGAAGCGGAGGAGAGCAACAGCGCAGGGGGACGGGGGGAGCACAGGGGGATGGAGAGCACGGGGGGAAGGGGAGCCGCAGAGAAGGGGTGAGCACATGGGGAAAGGGGCTAATTCCAAAAGCGCCTCAAAGGTTTTGGCCGTTCTTCCACCTCCTGCTTCTCTTCCACGCACCGCTGCTGCTCCTCCCTTCCTTCCTCTCTGCCACCACCCTATCGACTTCCCCGCCCTTCATTCTCCTGTTGTTTACCTCACCTCGCCTCGTTTGCCCCCCATTCCCTCCCCCGCATTCCCCTCCCCTCTCCCTTCTCTCGCATTCTCTATCTCTCTTCCGTCCCCCCTCTCCCTTCCCACCTCCTCCCATCCCCTTCACTCTTCCCTCTCCCCTCTCCCCTCTTCCCCCCTTCGTCTCACGTGGCCCTCCGCGCCCCCACACCAGCTGGACGGGTCACCCATAGTGAAGTCACAGAACAAGAAGTTCCGATGTAAGTGCAAGCTCTTTGCTAAGTGTTGCTCTTTGCCAAGCTTCGCCCCCATAAAATTGATGTCCCTCGATGAGCAAGGCTGTCAGGAAGCACCAGTATCAGCGTAATCCTTGATGCATGCTTTCCACCATCATTTCTCCCTTACACCCCTCAACCCAACGTCCATGGTGAACCGAATGCTTATCATTGCGCCCCCTTTCCCCGTCTCCTCTCGTCCCTCCCTGCGCTCCCTCCCTCCTCTCCCTCCCTGCCACACCCTTCAACCACTCCCCCACTCCCCCTCGCCTCCCCCAGCTTCTGGTGAACTGTGTGTTTACTGCGTACCCCTTCCTCCCCATATCCCTCCCTTTTCCACCTCCTACAATCCCCCCCCCCCTCCTCCCTCCTCTCCTCCCCCCCAGCTTTAATGGTAAACAGGGTGCGGTGGGCGCCTGACCCCTCCTCGCCCTCCATCTTTCCCCTCCCCCCGCTCCCCTTCCGCCCTCTTCCCCTCCCCCCGCTCCCCTTCCGCCCTCTTCCCCTCCCCCCGCTCCCCTTCCGCCCTCTTCCCCTCCCCCCGCTCCCCTTCCGCCCTCTTCCCCTTCCCCCAGCGTCCATGGTGAACCGGGTGCGGTGGGCGCCTGACCCCTCCTCGCCCTCGTCGCGGCTCATCATGTCAGAGACCACTCTCAAGGTGAGATGCCTTCATGCTGTCATGCCATCATGCCATGGTGCCATGCCTTCACCCCTCCTCGCCCTCCTCGCCTTCCTCGCCCGCCTCGCCCGCCTCGCGGCTCATCATGTCAAGGTGAGCTCTTGCCGTCATACCATCATACCATCATGCCATCATGCCATCACCCCTCCTCGCCCTCCTCACCCTCCTCGCCCTCCTCGCGACTCATCATGTCAGATACCACTCTCAAGGTGAGCGCATGCCATCATTGCTTCAATCACCGTGTAATCACCACTCTGGAGTGCCATTTTGTGCCGCGAATAGGCTGCAGCACACGGAGAAATTACTAGATTCTTCCACCAATACCCCTCTATAATTGTTCTTCTCCCCCCATCGCCCCCCACAGAGGTCAGTGGAAGTCCCATTGGCATTCCGGGTGATCCCAAGGGACGTCGTAGAGAGTGCTGGCAACAAGCTGCCTCACCAGTACGCCTCTCATTCACCCGCTCCCCCCATCTTGCCCCCTACAGAGCGCAGTGGAGGTCCCAGTGCCGTTCCGGATGATCCCAAGGGAGGCCATAGAGAGTGCTGAGACGTCTTAAAACCTCCCATCTCCCCCCATTTCCCCCCATCTCCCCTCATCTCCCCTCATCTCCCCTCATCGCCCCTTCCACAGAGCGCAGTGGAGGTCCCAGTGCCCTTCCGGATGATCCCAAGGGAGGTCATCGAGAGTGCCGGCAACAAGCTGTTGGAGCAGATTTTAAAAGTGGCTGTGCCGCGATTCCTAGAGCAGGTGAGCGCTGTGCTTCACTGAGTGCTCTGTGGTTGCCGCTTTGCTGGACTATGCACACAGGACGTCATAGAAACTGCAGGCAACAAGCTGTTGTAGCAGATTCTGAAGGTCACCGTGTCTGGTTTGCTGGTTTCTGGCTCTGTGTCTCCTCGCCGTTCTCCTCGTATCCCTTCTCTCCGCACTCAAACTGTCTGCTCCCCCCCTCGCTCCCCACACCGGAAGACGGATTACAAAGCCTGGCAGGAGTAGAAGTGGAGGGGCCTGGAGAGAAGGCAACTCTCAAAAGCCCCTCTGCTGCCGCTCCTGCTCTTCCCTCCCTATCCGCTTGCTCTGCTTCTCCGGCTACTGTTGCTGCTTCTAACCCTGATCTTCGGTTCCTCTCCCTATCCCTCCGCTCTGTCTCTATTCCCTCCGCTCTGTCTCTATTCCCTTCGCTCTGTCTCTCTCCCCTCTGCTTGTCTCTCCTTGCCCTGCCCCACCCGCCTGGCGTCTCTTGCACCCTATCTGTTTGCCCCCTCGCCACAGCTAAAGGGCTATGAAGCCTGGGCTGCAGCTTTCCCTGGATTTTCTCCATAAATCCCCTCTGCTGCTGCTCCTGCACTCCCCATCCGCCTCTCTCCCCACGGCTGAAAAAGGACTACGAGGCATGGGCTTCAGGGGACACCTCGTTGTTTCCCCTCCTCCCCCTACCCTCTCACTCTGTCTTTCCTTGCCCTTCCCCACCTGTCCCTTCTCACTGTCCCCTCCTCCCGCCAGCTGAAAAAGGACTATGAGGCGTGGGCTTCAGGGGATACCTCGAGAAAGCCCCTCGGCACAGGGGAGTTGTAACTTGTACCCGATATTAGCAGGATTACTACATGCGTATATAAGAGATGGACGCTGCAACTGCTGGATACAGGGTAACCAAGTTGAAAGGCAAGTGTTACCCAAGTCTGATTCTAGCGGCCATTCGGTAGTGTATGACAGTACAAGAGTGAGTAGTAGCACCTTTGTTAACATGCGTGGAACAATCTTGGGAGTACAGATGTGGTGTTCTGGTGTGGTGAAGATTCTTTCAGCCAGCCAGAGGGCACCTTCTTTGAGAAATGTGTCGTGGGGAGTGGGGAAGGGAAGGGTATCCGATGTGTGAAAGGCCTTAGCCTCTTGTATAGGGTAGGGTGTAGCAGAACCTTGAATTCCATGCTAGTGTTTACCAATCACTGGGTCAAATTAAAAAATCCGAGTTGCAACATTGTTGGCACAGCAGTTCCATAAGGCTGTGCTGTGCACTGTGCACTGTGCAGTGTGCACACGGTGTGGTGCAGTGCAGCCAACTGTTGACTGCCAACAGCAGCAGTGGGGTGAAGGGGGAGATCACCTGCAGTTTCACACTCTGGCTGTGGCGCTCCCAGACGTTCTTTCTGGGAATTTGCCTGAGAATGCCTGACAACGTGTGAGAATACCATGTTGAGAATAGGACAAAAGGGTAGATAACAGTGAGTAAAAGGGGAAGTGCAACACGGAGGGTGAAGAGAGGTGAGTGGGGAAAATCAGGCAAAAGGACATGCAAGGATAGCTGATGCTGATAAGAGGGCCATTCCCCCCTCTCTTAAATGGGCAGATGCAGAAAGAAGAAGCAGAAGGACTTGTCAGCACTCGGAACTGCACATTCGAGCACCACTCAGCACCACTCAGCACGACTCAGCACCGCTCAACACCGCTCACCCACTCTCAGCACCACTCACCAAGGCAGGACTTGAAGAGGATGTGAGGAGAATCATCGCTGGGTGGCTTTAAACTCTGTGTGCAACCACAGCAGTGAGTCTGCACATGCTCGTGCCTCCTATCATCATCCCCTGCAGGCTCCCACTCCCATTCTTGTCATGTCTCACCCTAGCCTTTCTTCTCACTTGCTCCGCCCCCCTTCCCTCCTCTCGTTCACTCTCGTCTCGCCCATGTTACCACTTTCCTCATCTCGCCCATGTTAACACTTTCCTCATCTCGCCCATGTTACCACTTTCCTCATCTCGCCCATGTTACCACTTTCCTCATCTCGCCCATGTTACCACTTTCCTCATCTCTTGCTTTCCAGCCTTCCGATACCCCTCACCCTTCCACTCATTGCCTCTTTCCCACGCTCTCTTCCGCTCCCTCCTTCCCTTCCTCTTCCTCTCTCTTCTCTAGTTCCGCAATCTCCCCCCCTCTCCCTCTCTCCCCCCTTCCGACTTCATCAGCAGAACCACGAGCACCAGGCCCCGGAGTAGGAGAATTGTTACCAGGTGTGCGGAGCAGGCGCTGCCTTGGAGCGAACTCTGCAAGGAAACGGATGAGAAATGAGGTAGATTGAAACGATATGAAGGTCAAACACGAGCAAAAAATTTATGGAAGAGAATGAAACAGGACTTTATGGTGGGACAGGGTGAGCTTGAGGCGAAATCATGCGAACATCACAACCCACACTTCTGCACCAGTGGTAACCACTAACCACCTCACATCTACCGCGCCATAAACGGTAACCATCTCACCTCCCAATCCGCTGTCAGTGGTAACCAACTCACCTCTCAATTTGCCATCAGTGGTAACCATCTCACCTACCAGTTCGTCATCAGTGGCAACCATCTCACATCTCAATTCGCCATCAGTGGTAACCACCTCACCTCTCAATTCGCCATCAGTGGTAACCATCTCAAGATCCAGCAGGGAGAGCAGGCGGGCGAGGTCAACTGCACTGCTGCACTGCTGCGCCCCCCTGCCACTCCCCAGCCTCATCCCCCCTCTGCTTCCACCTCCCCCCAACACCATCGCCACTGGCATTAGAAACGCTGCTGCTGCTGCTGCTGCTGATGATGGTGGTACTGTTGGTAGTGGTAGTGGTGGTGGTGCTGCTGCTGCTGGTGCTGCTACTGGTAATGTTGATGGGGCTGCCACTGTTACTGCTGCTGCTGCTGCTGCTGCTGCTGCTGCTGCTGCTGCTGCTGATGGTGGTGCTGTTGGTAGTGGTAGTGGTGGTGGTGCTGCTGCTGCTGGTGCTGCTACTGGTAATGTTGATGGTGCTGCCACTGTTACTGCTGCTGCTGCTGCTGCTGCTGCTGCTGCTGCTGCTGGTGCTGCTACTGGTAATGTTGATGGGGCTGCCACTGTTACTGCTGCTGCTATTGCTGCTCCTGCTTCTGCTGACAGTGCTGCTGCTTGTGCAGTGGGTATGGGGGGCTGGGTGGAGGGTATGGGTGCAGCAGGAGGAGCAGCAGGGGGAGGAGGCGGAGCAGAAGGGGGAAGAGGCGGAGCAGCAGGGGGAGGAGGCGGAGCAGCAGGGGGAGGAGGCGGAGCAGCAGGGGGAGGAGGCGGAGCAGCAGGGGGAGGAGGCGGAGCAGAAGGGGGAAGAGGCGACAGCTGTAGAGAGGCAAGCACGGCTGGTGAATGGGCAGCTGTGGGGAGCATGAGCACGAGAGCGCCCGAGTCCCCTTGAGTGTCAAACGCGTGGCCGTGTCGACCCACTATGAGGAGGTCTGTAAAGAGGGAGGTACCGCCCCCCTCGCTGTGCTCCACCGCGTATGCTGCTATGGTGCCCTGGGTTAGCCCTGAGGCGCTGCCCACCTGAAGGAATGAGGAGCGAGGGGAGACAAGGACAGGGGTGTCAAACGCACAGCCGTGTCGACCCACTATGAGGAGGTCTGTAAAGAGGGATGTACCGTCCCCCTCGCTGCGTTCCACCGCGTAGGCTGCTATGGTGCCCTGGGTTAGGCCTGAGGCGCTGCCCACCTGACAGGAGCAAGAAGAGAGACGAGAGAAAAGAGGGAAGAGGAGAGGAGTGAGCGGCAGTTAAGAATGCTTGGGAGAGGAAGGAGGTGTCTCCCCCCTTTGTTCGCTGTGCTCCAATGCATAGATTGCTGTGGTGCCCTGTGCGAGGCCTGAGACGCTGCCCATCTGAGAGAAGAGATGAGAAAGGAGAGGAGAGGGAGGAGGGAAGAGAAAGAGGGGAGGCGAGGGGAAGTGACGGAGGAGAGGAGAGAGAAGTGACGGAGGAGAGGAGAGAGAGGAGAGAAAGAGAACATGGGTGGGTGTGAAATCCTGCCCCTGCCATCACCCACGTTCAACGCACCTTCTACGTACCTTCCACGCACCTTCCACACGTGCTGTCCCACCACACTACGGATGTCGTCTGATAGGTTGACGCGGCGGGGCGGACCAACGGGGCCGATTCCCGCCACTTGCGTTGTCACGACCGATAAGTCAAACTCCTCGTGGAAGGGAATGTATGCGCCGTCCGTGCGCACAAACGAGTCTGCTTGTTTCGGGGACGAAGGGACGTGGGAACATGCATTGGGACATGAGGGGAGAACGTTGAACGGGATGTTGGGTGGGAAAGGATCGGAGGAGGAGGGTTGAGGAGAAGGGAAGGAATAAAACGTGTAGTGGAACAATGTAGGAGTGTTACAACTCTTACGGAATCACCTAATAAAGAGAACAATCCGCACCTGGGTTCATGTTGGCGAACACGCCGAACCACGCGTGGTCCGAAGCAAACGGCAAGGCTCGTTCCACCGAGCCTAAGAACCTCCCCGGACCAAGCGACACAGGCAGGGGGTGAAAGAGCTTCTGCTTCGGCTGGTCCAAATCAACTGCCACGTGGCGACTCGCCAGAAACCCCACCCCAAGGTAACCACTGCTCCCACCAAGACTGCTGCTCATCCCACCAGTGCCGCTCGTCCTCCCATGGCCACCGCCGCCGCCACCGCCACCGCTGCCGCTGCCACTGCTGTTGCTCCGGCTGGCTTTTTTAACAATCGCTCCCAGCGTTCCATACACCTCCTCGCTTGCAATCTGCGACCCCGGCCCGATCTTACTGCCACTCCCCCTCAGCTGCTCCACCAGCGGGTTATCTATAATAGCTGCCTCTGCGGCTACTCCCACCGTGCCTGCCACGTCACCCGCGTCACCTGCCACGTGGCCTGCAGCGCCCGGGCTGCTGCTGCTCCTGCAGCCGCTTCTCTGATTGGTCAGCTCCACCACGTCCACGTCACACTCGTACCCGCCCAGCCCCTGCAACTTCCTCGGAAGCTTCTGCGCCGGCAGCAGCCACTCCTCGTGCACCTTTCTTGAAACGAAGACGACTATAGCGGGGACGTCCGTCAGCCTTCCGCGCCGCGTGCGCAAGCCGAGCGCGGTGCCGAGGCTGTGGCGGCGGAGCGCCTCGCTGTGGCACGCGCGTATCAGCATCAGCTGCGCGATCGTCGTCGCGGGTCGCGTCATCATGGCCCCGCGAGGAATCCGCGACCCGGCGAGCGTCAAATCTGTCAGCGGCGCGCCAGGATTCGCTCTAGCTTCGGAACTCTCTCTAGCGTCGGCGCGACCACTACCTGTGGTTGGATTGGTAGCGAAAATTGCGGCGGGGGGCGCGGGGTGACGAGGGCTTGAATCTGCAACTGGAGACGCCAGCTGTCGGAGGAAGTACTCGCGGCGGGCGCGTGGCGACGCGTGCGAGCCATGCGCGTCGCAGGGAGGCCATTGGACGTATCTCGGCGTGGGCGCCGGCTCGTACTGCCCGGCCGATTCGAGCGGCTCCAGCGACTGCGGACCGTTGGAAAGAACGCATCGGACGGCCGGTTTTAGCTGGCTAAAGAGCGGATCTAAACAGCTGGGGGAGCGTCGATAACGCTTCCGAGTCGCCAGGGATTTGTTTGGGGAGCTGAGATCGACACTCGCGGCGCTGCTGCTGCCGCACGAACCGTATGTCCAGGCTCTCGTGCGACCCGCCGGGCTTTCGGGAAATAGGAGAGAGGACTTGGGAGAGGGCGAGGGGGAGAGGCTGTCCCATGCGCGCTTCTTCATACCGTTGCCGCCGCCGCCGCCTCCGCTGCCGGTGTTACGGGCGGTGTAGGAACGGGCGAAAAAAGGCGAGTCCATGGTGATTCCAGCGAGATTTCAGGAAATCTTTCCGAAAAAGGATTCTTAATAAAATCGTATGGGGAGTCGCGCAGTAGGAGAAGAATAGGCCTGAAAACTCAGAGCGGCGATACCATTCGCTCGTTGTTCCAATGGACTCCATTCATCTGCTGCATGAGCGCTTCCCTACGAAGGTCGCAAGCACATTGGCGGACTGGCAGTCGGGTCTAGACTTTACTACACGACGATTCTTGGCACGGAGAGAGTGAAGCACCCTTGAAGCAGCCGTCTCGGCTACGACTGCTCGCAATCTGCGACTTCCCATGGCGATCCGATGGAACCCGGCGAGGCGAGACTTTCGTGGATTGATTGACTGGACTGAGGCGTGTGTGGGGTGGAGATAGATGTGGATGGCCTCTCGCCACGTGCCAGTTGGCAGGCGTGGCATCATGACCGAGCTTCACGCGCCTCACCGCAATTATCTGCAATGAATTCGCTCCTGTAACTTAGGTCACGGTTCTGGGCGAAGTTTGCCCGCCATCAGCTCAAAATGGCCCTCAATGACGTGTAAAAACACCCTATCATTGGTCATCACACAAGTTTCCAGATATATTGGAGCATGGAAGCCAATCAGACGTGTACTTCCGTCTACACTTGTCCCTACTTCGGATGGCGGGCGAACTTCAGAACCGCGATCTTATTTCCAGGAAACCAACCACCTGGAGAGATGCTTGGAAAAGGAAATCATATGAAATACTGTACAGTCACGTTGAAGAATCACCTGACTTCGACCTCCGAGTCGAGAGAGAGGAATTGAGGGGAGGAAACTAGGTAAGAACAGGAACATATGCCTCTCCGACCAATCAAGTCTCGCTGCAACTCACGAGGTTGGTTTGACCGATGCGGCACAGGCAGCTCCGGTTCTCTCCACCAGAGTGAAATGGTTGTTGTTTTGACTTCAGGTGTAGGAAACGCATATATGAGAGCTGATTTTGTTTTGAGTAATTTCAACAGCGATCAATCAGCAACAAGCATTCAGTATTGATCATGTATTTTATCATGCAACTACACCACTCGGTTACGAGCCTCTCGAGTGCGCTCCAAGTCCCTCACTGCCTGCCAGACGAGCCAATGTGAGCCACCTGCATGGCCATTCCCCACCCTAGTCCAATCCAAAGCATATTGTGATCCCCATGCACCACCATCACAGCAGCACACAGCATGCCAAACAGAACCTCACTGTCTAGCCGAGTGACTTTTATCATGATGGTCGTTTATTCTACGTGCGTCACAACAACGGCTCGAAGCGCAGGGGCCACGCCCAGTTGGGTCTAGTATAGACTAGACGACGATCCTTGCAAACGAGAGAGACGAGCCCTGAATGTGCCATGCCATCTCGTCGGATGATGTGGTCTTTCGCGATTCCGGGATTTGCATGGTGCTCTAGGTTGAGGCGAACGAAACGAGGGAGGTGGTGGTGAACAGGCTGAGGTCCAGGCACGCGTCAATGTAATGTAGCGCTGACAGCTGGCTTCATGCTACATCATATGACTGCGAGCTTTGCCGTTCCACGATCATTAACAAAAAAATCCGTTATCCCTGAAATCGCGGGCCCCGAGAAGGTTAGTTTCGAGGGAGGAAGCGGATAGCCCCGTTTCGAGGGTACTACAGTGTCAACCCAGCGAAACAGTCAGATAATCGTCAGAGATACAGCTCCGGATTCGGAGTCCCTTTCGGAGCCCCTAAATTATAACACCCTCTTTCTCAACCTTTTCACCTTGCGCGACTCGTCGCTACAGTACTTGTCTCATGCGATCTGGTGCCATTAAAGCGACGGGCAACTTTTGGCAGTGTTGGGTTCAGAAGTTTTTTTTTTTTAACCAGGCTTGCCAGCGCGAAAGTGCTGGCTGGCGAAAACCAGGATTTCGTGCGGACACTTTCCGTCCGCAGTAACAGTTCGCCAGGGTTCTGGGTTTTGGGTGGCAAATGTGCACCGTCGCTTTAAACGTTCCTAGCAACCTGGGGGGAAAGCTGAACCATGTGACAAACTGGCTCAAGAACGCAAAATCTCCGTAATCGCTTTATACCCTTCCAAACCGAATAAGTGCATAACCTCACCTAATCGCATTCTTCACATTGTGCTTGTACAGTAGGTGACAAGACCATTCTGAACGTGGTGACGTTCTACAACCCATGTACGTTCTGCAACCAGGCGCTCTACTAGCGCGAAAGTTTAAGTTTAAGTTTTAAGTTTTTATTATGGTCGTAACCGCATACAGTGCAACACCACAAGCATGGCAAAAAGCCAAGGTCTAAAAGACCTACTCTATAACAGCGTTACTTGCCTATCAAGGATAGAATGAAGGCCAAAGCCTTTATCGGGTTGCACAGCTAAAACCTGAGCAGCTTCTACGGAGGATGAAAAGAATCGTTCAACAGCCAGGACTCTCGCAGAGCTGGATGAAGTTGCGGGGTGCCATCCAACCCGAAGGTAAGGAATTTAAGTGAGACGGCAGCATGGAGAAGATTTTTCGTAGCGCGCTTCTTTTTATCAGACCATTTAGCCCGTCGACTGAAGTAGATTTTACAGGAAGTTAAGAAGAGGGCCAGGATGCGATGAAGAGTTTCAAGTCGGGTGTACACAGTCTGCTCATAGTGAGAAGAGCAACGATCTCTCCAGAGGGTTGTGGCAGCAGCACCAACGAGCAGACACCATGGAGCGATGAGGCTGGATGGGTGAGGCAGCGGAAAGAAGACGGCCGCCGGTTCAACTGATGTGAGAAGGTGTCGACTAGCCACCCGCTGTATTGACTCGACAACCGCATGCGCATGCCCACAATCAAAGAACATGTGAGGTAGGTCTTCAATCCAGGGGAGACCACAACGAGGGCAGGCGCCCCCGGTGGAGGTGAAGCGGTATCTGGAACCGGACGGCAGCGTGAGGGTGAAGAGTCGAAAGAGAACATCACGGTGTCGTGAGGGCTGGTCCTTGAGGAATGAATGATGGTAGTCTGGAAGAAAGGGAATGGGATCCCGGACTATGACATTCCAGCGTTCCAAGTGATTAAGAGGAAGCGGCTGGTAGATTAGGTTCCTGATATCCGAGAGCGAGGGAGTTCCCGCAAAGAGTTCATGGCGAGAGCCGAGGGCAGGGCCGTGATCGAAGGGACCGGCTAGCCATCGTCCTTTGACGTGAACTTGGATGACCTCCTTGAATGTGATGGTGCGGCTTCCTTCACTCACGGTTGCCACCTGTCTCCCTTGATGCACACTGGAAATGTTGATAAGTGCTTTGAAATCTGGCAGAAGGGCGGACACACGAAAGATCTTGCTAGGAAGGAATGTCTTTTTAGCCTCCAACACCCAATCATCGACAGCCAGGTATCTTCTGCTCGGGGAGAATCTCCGTATCGTAGCCCACCAACTGAGAGGGATGGCATCAAAGACACTGAGAATGAGTGTCCTGTTGCCAGGGTACACTGAGGGGGGGAATTTTTCAAAGATTTTGTCTTCTTCCATCCGCCTTGCACTTGTACGAGTGGGAATGAGGAGCTTCCCAAAGCGGATTTGATCATTAAGCAGAAACAACTCATTCTTCAGGCGGCCGAACGGAACATCCCGTTCCTTGCATATGAACCTGTTAAAGGCGACAAGTTCGGCCATGAGGCTCCAGGGGTCCAGACGAGGCGGCTTAACTGCCGAAGGTAGTGGTAAAACGGCTTCAAGTTCAGCATGGAACCTGGCCGGGACCTGAGGGGGGAGAAATTTGACAATGGACGGGTGAGAAAGGTAACAGTGAAGGCCATAAGGCATAGGAACACAGGAGTGAGCAACATCTTCATAAGGCGAAGCGTGAAACCTTCTTACAGCCCATTGGATGGTGAGGGCACGAATGTGCGCAGAGGGTTCCAGAGCACCGACGCCTCCATGTTTCTTCTTGTTGTATAGGATCCGTTTGGGGATGAGCCTCGTAGCAAGCCCATGTTCCTTGTAGCGGGAGTTGGAGAGGAAGATACCAATAACACGGTCAAGCGTTGTGAGTATGAGGGAAGGGGGGGGTTGAAACCTAGCACCAAATGCATATAGGGAGGCCAGTCTTTCCGTGGACAAGAGGGATCGGCATGTGGTTGTGGCCTTAAATTGAGCCAACAGCTTGGTGCAGCCTCGGATACGAAGGATGATGTTGTCCCAGGTGGTGGCCCCGGGTTGACTTTGTTCCACGTAAATTCCCAAGATCCGCTCGGGCTCATCGGCACCCCTTATAGGAATTGAACCTGCATGGAGCAACGGGGTGTTGTGCATGTTAATGGGGATAATAGAGCACTTCTCCCAATTCGGGTGCTCCCCAGACATGGCTGCAAAGTTCTTGAGAACCTGAGTGGTTACCTGCAGTTCAGAGTCAGAATTGAGAAAAATTGACACGTCATCAGCATAGCAGGCTGCCAGCCGACGTTGGGATTGGTTGAAGGCGTAGCCAGGGATGAAGGAGTGTAAGTACCTCTGCATGACCTCGATCACACAGACGAAGAGGAGAGGGGCAAGGGGGCAGCCCTACCGCACACCTGAGCGCACGGGGAACAGGGGGCCAGAGAAGTTGTTGACCGATACCCTGGTGGAGGAGTTGGAGTGGAGCATGGATACCCACCGAATGAAACCGGGAGGAATCCCTAGGTGACGTAAACAATCATAAAGGAATTGCCTATCGACCATGTCATATGCTTTCCGGATATCCACCGTGAGAACGAGGAGTGGGTCACCTTGAGCGATCGCCCACTCCATGAGGTCCAATGTATCATTGATTGTATCGCCGATACGCCGACCTTTGATGAACGCAGCCTGTGCGGGGTTGATGATTTTGGGAAGAACTGCTTGTAAACGGGAGGCAAGGACAAGGGCAAGAACCTTGTAATCCACGTTCATCAGCGTAATAGGCCGCAGGTTTGATACAAGCTCCGTACTTCCACGCTTGGGGATGAGAACCGTCCTGCCGGCTTCCATGGACTTGGGAACTTGCCCTTGGGAGACAATAGAGGTGCACAACGTTTGAAACAGAGGGGCAAATAGGCTTTTATAGGAGCGAAACAGTTCCCCAGGGAGGCCATCAGGCCCGGGGGTTTTACCCCTGGAAAGCCGCCCCAGAGCCGACTCAATCTCTGCCAGCGAAAATGGTAGATCCAGACGGGCAGAGCAGGAAGAGGGGAGCACAGAGGTGCGCACTGAATTCCAGAACGAAAGGTCACGAGAGACTGGAGAGAGACCATTGTAAAGAGTGGAGAAGTACTCGGTGCAGTGCTTGGACATGCCCTGCAGGTCAGAGACAATCTCACCCGAGGGGAGCTTGAGATGTGGAATGAGAGAATCTTTGATGCGGCCCTGAAGACCAACGAGAAGAGAGGAGACCCCCATCTCTCTAGAGCCTTCCACCTTGAGCTTCGCCTTGAGCGCGATTTCGGAGGCACGAGAGAGCTCATAAGACTCCAGGCTAGAAGTGAGAAGGGATAAGCGGGCGGCTCCCTGCTGGTCAGAAGGGTTTTTGAGAAGGTGAAGCTGAAGGCGGCATGCCTCATCACTTAGAAAGGACATAGTCTTCCTTACCCGGGTTTTTTCCTCCTTACTGTACCACTGAAGTTGACGACAAAGCCTTTCCTTCCAGTGGTCCCACTCCTCGGTGGTGAACCCAGGTCTGAGTTCCTGAGAGACCTGTTTTAGGTGAGCACAGACAAAAGGCTTGAGAATGAGGGAATGCGGGAGCCACCAAGGCCTAGGGGCCATATTGGGGTTCCGAAACGCCAGATACGTACGTTCTGTCAAGGCGGGAGGAGGAGGGGGCAGAAACGGAGAGCAAGCATTCTGCCTGGGGAGGGAAGGTTGGGAGGAGGTGGGGGCAGATCCAGAAGGCAGAACTTTTTGATGGGAGGAAAAGGAAAACATGGCTTTGGTTGGAAACTTGTGCCGGTAGCAGTCAATAAGAGAGTGTTTCTTGAGCATATCCTCTAATAAAGCTGCCTCTGTGCGCTCCACTGGTTTCAGGTCCCGATTCCTGTCCAAGGGTAACACCACGGCATTGAAGTCACCGGTAAGAATTGTTCCAGAACTGGCGGAGGGTTGCTCCAGGTAGTGCGCCACAGTGTTGGTCCACCAGGCACGCCTGTCAAGATAGTTGTTAGGGGCGTAGATGGCGAGAAGCCTGAACTGTTCATGTAAGAAGTTGCAGTGAAGATATAAGCACCTTCCATCACCAGAGGATGCCCTGGTGGAAATGGAAACACTCGGATGGAAGATTAAAACAGCGATGCCGCCAGGTTTAGCCTGTAAGGAAGAGGACAGGCGAGGGGGAACTTGAGCATATGCTTTAGGTTTTAATTTGAAAAGAAGATGTGAAAAATTGGAGGTCAGCCAGGTGTCAGTGAGCACGAGGATGTCAACAGGATTCCTTGTGAACCAAGAGCGCAAGACATCAAGTTTTTGAGGAGAGTTTAGACCGTTGACATTGATACACTGTATTTTGAGGTGTATATCCATTAATGATCATAGAGGAGGGCCCCATGTGCTCCGAAAAGCACACATCCACAGGGGCAGGAGAAAGAGGCACCTTGAGGAGGAGCCGACAGGGAAATCACACAGCAATGACTTACATGTAACTCCCAACCGAATTGTATAGACAGCAACTACAGATACAACAGTACAGGATTATTGGAATACGAGGGGTACACACTGTATTTCCAGCCGCCGAAGCCTCCTAACCCTGCGCAAGGAAGGTGGCGATCGTCCCGTTCTGATTGAAAACATGGGCTTTCACATCCCCGTACTCCTCCAGGGGCGTGATGTTGCCAGAAGCCAGCTGGATAGCGTTCTGATGAGCGGGGCTCGCGATATGCTCAATCGCACCGTCCAAAGCCCAACCGCAGCAGAAAGAGCACAGAGCGCAAGACCAGACTTCCACCTTGAGATCCGTCCCAATGAAGAAGGTACCAGGGTCGGCCTTGAAGGAAGCCACTGCGGGGTGCTGGCCAATGATCCTGGCTGTAAAAGGCAGGGGGGCATGTAGGGAGCGGCACTGAGACCCACGATAGGAGACTGGAGTAGAGAGAGCAGGAGAAAAGACAGAGCAAGGCAAGGAACGAGCAAAGCCAGAGGGAACACCAACAGGCAGGTTGCGACCAAGAACAAGAGCAAAAGGGGAAGGCGATACTTGGGAGGGTTAATACAAGGAACCAGCAGAGCGGTCGAAGGAGCAGATGGAAGCACACAGGGAAATAGTTACCATTAACATTCTGGAGCTGCCCCATGGTGATGAGGTACGGATTTGCGATGCGGTTCCTCCTCACTGCAGCGAAGCTGCTGTGGTCGCGCGTACGATGGTTACTAGTGCACACAGCACATGAGTGCGAAGACACATTCACCAGGATAGGTTCCTGAACTCCTGGCACCCATATGACAGCAGGGATGGCTTCAAAGAGGGGGTCGTTAGGGGAGGCAACAGCAATGCCAAGCATCTGAGGTAAGAATGATTCCTCGTAAGGATCAAACAGCTTGTGGAAGAAAAGAAGGTCACCAAGCCAGCGAACCCCCTCCGTGGAGCTAGTCATCAGCAAGGAGTGGAGCGTGCGGACAGCAAACCCCACAGGAATGTTGCGCAGAATCAGAACCGTCTCGCCGTGGGCCTTGGCCGCCGAGAAGTCCGGGGCAGGATCCTGGAACACCTTGATTTCGGCCGTTGGTCCTTCGGAGGAGCGGTATGTGATCGGGAGCATGCGCTTGAAGCGATTCGCGTCGTCAACCGTCGGCCACTGAATCGTGTGGCGGCAGTACGACTTGCGGGGAAGGCGCAGGAGATCACCAGCAGATGCTTCGAACACAGGGACGCGACCACCAGCGAAATCACGCCCGCGGAGGATGCTACGGACGCGGGTGATGATCCGGCTGCGATGGGCTTCCAGGGCCTCAGGGAAGAGAAGAACAACAACAGCATCAGTGTCGCGGGCGAGGGCCGCAACAACAACTCCCACAGAGTCACGGTTACGTCGAAGACGTGAGTAACGACCGGTAATAGCAAGGGCAATAACAGGGTTAGCCTCCTGGGTAGACGCCGAGGGAGTAGGCGCTGCCGTGGAGGGACCAACCACGGGAGCCGTTACCGGGGTGACAGGCGGCACCACCGAAGCCGCAGGGGGAGCCACAGGCGCAGAACTGGAGGATCCGGCAGCACAGACGCGCTTAGCGGGGGGAGGAGCCGAGACAGCAGGTGTGGCAGCTTCTTCAGCGAAAAATGAGTCGACCGAGAAGGAGGCATCGAGCTCCTCTTCGCCCATAAGCTCGTCGTTGTTGTGCCGGGAACCCATTGCGCCAGGTGGTAAGGAGGAAGTGTCATGATACGACGATTTGTAGCATGGGAACGCGATTCGACGAGGAAGAGGTGAGAGAGTTGGTGCGACGGATCGCGACCAACCGAGGACAGAAATTGTTCCCACATCCCATAAGGGAAGGGTGTGGCTGTGGCTCTGGCAATGGCCTCGGCTCACAGTAACCAGCAAGGATCCAGCAAGGAGTAGAGGAGTCGCGAGGCGTGCATGGAGGGAAGCAGCAGTAGACCACGCCGTTGCTATGCAACGTGTCACCTTAACAGACGTGCATGTCTGAGCGCGAACGTGGCCTAACCAGAACCTGTCAGAAATTATAATACCCTCTTTCTCAACCTTTTCACCTTGCGCGACTCGTCGCTACAGTACTTGTCTCATGCGATCTGGTGCCATTAAACGTTCCTAGCAACCTGGGGGGAAAGCTGAACCATGTGACAAACTGGCTCAAGAACGCAAAATCTCCGTAATCGCTTTATAGCCTCACACCATTGGGCCGTTTCGCTGCAGCAGTCAGTCTTGGCCAATCCGAACGTGGCCACCATGTGGTGCTGGAGGGCTGCCAAGGATCCTGCCCCGTTGCCATCACATGCGACGCGTTAGTGACAGCCTTTTTACTAGTGCTACACTGATGCATCAGACTTTTTACAAACACAACACTGACATTTCAGGCTTTTTTTTTTTGGAACACTGTCAATCAGAGTTTACACACAGGGGGACCCTGATGGGTTGACGACCCTAAAAGTGAATCTGAGGGCCTGCTTTATACCCTTCCAAACCGAATAAGTGCATAACCTCACCTAACCGCATTCTTCACATTGTGCTTGTACAGTAGGTGACAAGACCATTCTGAACGTGGTGACGTTCTACAACCCATGTACGTTCTGCAACCAGGTGCTCTACTAGCGCGAAAGAGGGTGTACTGATGAGGAAAGGAACGAGCCCATCCATGACCAGATGACGACGTGTCAACATTGACCTCGCAGTGGCTACAGCTCCTAAGGGACAGCTAGACTGGTGCAGAACAGTGTGCTTCGACTTGTGCCACTCCGAGTGGGGTTGTGTCAAGCATGGTGTACATTCATTATAGGATGGGTGGTAGGTGATGAGTCACCTAAAACAATTGTGGAAACTTCTACACCTACTTTGAACATCAAACATCTAGCCTTATTTGCACACATCCAACCAATTACAACTACACCACTCGGCTACGAGCCTCCCTGGCTCGCTCCAAGTCCCTCACTGCCTGCCACCTCTCCCTCGATAGCTCCCTCTCTCCAAAGCTTGCAGCTGCCAGACGAGCCAATGTGAGCCACCTGCATGGCCATTCCCCACCCCATGCGACAGAGGAACAGCAAACAGACAAAGAAGAATATATGATCCCCATGCACCACCATCACAGCACACAGCACGACAAGCAAAACCTCACTGACTAGCCCAAAAGTCAAGCGGTCGATGACATAAAAATCCAATAAGGGGTCTTCCTGTACTTGGTCCAACAGAGCAGGCGGAGTCTCAAGGAGCAAAGCAGCAGGCATCACTCAGCAGCAGCGATGAAACCATCAGAAGCAGCAGCAGGCAGCGCGTACCTGGGAAAAGTGTCGGAGTCGAGAGAGGGGTCCTGCTGCCGTGCTGCCACGAGCTGCTGCGAATTCTAGGAAATGCCCCGCAACAGGCATTGCGCAGCAAGAGGCATCGCAAGCACCGGGCAGCGCGTACCTGTGGAAAGTGTCGGAGTCGAGGGACGGGTCCCCCTGCCGCGCTGCCACTAGCTCCCGCTCCACTTGCTGCCCACACAGGTGGTACGTGGGGAGGGTGGGATGTGGCGAGGGTGGGATTTGGAGAGGTGAAATGTGGCGAGGGTGGCATTTGGAGAGGTGAAATGTGGCGAGGGTGGGATTTGGAGAGGTGAAATGTGGCGAGGGTGGGATTTGGAGAGGTGAAATGTGGCGAGGGTGGGATTTGGAGAGGTGAAATGTGGCGAGGGTGGGATGTGGGGAGGGTGGGATGTGGGGAGGGTGGGTTGTGGGGAGGGTGGGATGTGGGGAGGGTGGGATTTGAGGAGGGTGGGATGAGGTGGTGAAGATGGGTTGCTGAGGCTGGAAGGGGCTGTGATACCCACAGGTGGCATGCCCATGTACACTCACATGCACATGCACGTGCATGTGCATACGCAAATATCCTCCCTTATCACGAGAAATGCACTCAGCAAAAACCAAAACCCGCACGCATGAACAATAATCGCAGGGAGGCTCAAATACACACCTCCCGCATGTCCTCCTTGATCTCATGATCCAGCAGCCGGCAGCAGCCAATGTACCGCCGCCACGTGGCGACCTCCGGCTCGTCCTCACGGACAGGCTGAGGTGGCGCCGTGCACCGCACTGGCAGGCTGACGTCAGCAGGCAGGAGGCGTGACGTGGCGTGGGAGAGAATCAGCACAGGTATATCGCTCTGCATCTCCATCTTATAGTACTGAAAATCGTAGTCCACTTTTTGCCACTCCAATAGCTCTTTAAGAGCCTGCAGGTTCTGGCTCCCTAGCGCCGCCACCCTTCCCGGCTTTAAAGCCGTCTCGTCAATAGTTAGGTGGGTCCCTGCTGGTAGCTGCAGCACGCCAGAGACTAGTCTGTCAGAGGTATAGTCCTTGTGGGGCGTGAGGCGGCGCGAGTTAAGATTGTCCAGGGAGAGCGGGAGAGTGTGGGTGGCTGGGAGGAGGGTTTGGAGAGAGGAGGTGAGGGCGGAGAGAGAGGGGGAGGCGGCTTGGGAGAGTGAGGGAGGGGAGGAAGAGAGAGGAGGAGGGGTTGGAGAGGGAGTGGAGGCCGAGGAAGGTTCTGGGAAGCCGGAGAGGTTAAGAGAGAGCTTGCCAAGAGGCATGGGCTCTATGCGCGTGTGTACCTGCATACATGCACACATGCACATAAGCATACATGAATCCATGAATCCATGCACACATGCACACATGCACACATGGATACATGGACACATGCACGCACGCGTGGGAGAGGCGAATAGAAACAGCTTGAACCATGCCAGATGTTGCCTGTTGCAACACGTCAAGACAGCAAGCGCAGCAAAAGGGACTCTGCCGCTGTGCTCACCATGCAGGTCACATGGCAAACCATGCTCCGTGCATGTGATGTGTGTGTGTTGCTGAATGGCCTGCACAGAGTTACCGGAGACAACAGGTGCAGCAGTAGGCACTCCGCCGCCAGCCTGTCACTGGCATGTGTGAACTGCATCTTAGCACTACGTTACCGCACGCCATATCACCCCATACCACACGCACCCGCGACAGCAGGTGCAGCAGCAGCTACTCTGCTGCCAGTGTGCCACTGGTGTGTCCCTGTGTTATATCATGCCATGTCAAACGCACACCCACCGTAGCTTTACCACCCCACTGCACACATACCTGTGACAGCAGGTGCTGTCAGTAGCGGACAGGTGGGCTGCGCAGGTCTTATTTCCATCAACTCGAATGGTTCTTATAACGACGGATCAAACCCCATGGAATGAATGACGAGATGAGCCCGGCATACCCGCGACAGAAGGTGCAGCAGCAGGTACGCTGCTGCCAGCCTGCCACTGGTGTGTGTCTGTACAGTATCTAATCAATACACCATTTCACCTCACACCACACATACCCGTGACAGCAGGTGCAGCAGCAGGTATTCCGCCGCCAGCCTGTCGCCGCCCAGAGCAACAGCCAGCCGAGACAGCAGCGCCGCCCTGATGCTCGCCGCTGCCTGCAGGGGGGATGTGCGGGGGAGGGGGGTCGGGGGAGGAGGGACGTTCGAAGTGACTTCTTTCTCAGTCCATTCAAAGGCCAGCGCAGCAGCCAGCCGAGACAGCAGCGCCGCCCTGATGCTCGCCGCTGCCCGCAGAGAGGCATTTGAGTAGTCGACTCAGTAGTAAACGAGGAGAAATTCGGGGAGCAGGAATGGGGTGGGGCACATTTTGAGGTGACTTTGTGAGTCGACTCAAAAGTAAGACACGAGGAGAAGTCAGGGAAGGGAAAATGCGGTGGGGCACAAAGGATTGGAGAACAAGGCAGGGTCACACGAGGAGGGTGAGGAGGGATGGTGTACTGATGAGCAACCCTAGAGGCCACACCGCTACAGGTGGGATAAGAATGATACTCACTGCTACAGTGGGTTCCGTGACGGGCTGAAAAAGGTCGGGAAGCTTCCTCCAGGTGAGGCGGTGTAACCGCAACACCTGGCTGCTGAGCAGACACGCAGAGGGGCACCCACCCATGCCCATGCCGCCTCCCAGTCACATCTCGCCCCCCATGCCCATGCCCACTAAGACTCACCGCCACAGTGGGCTCCACATCAGTTGAGAAGAGGTGAGGGAGCTTCCTCCAGGTGAGGCAGTGTAATCGCAACACCTGGCTGCTGGGCAGACACGCAGAGGGGCACGCTCCCATGCCCATATCGCCCCCCATCATCTCCACCTCCATCGCTGCTCCTGTGCTTCCGCCTGTGCCTGCTCCTGCGCCTGTGGCTGCGTCTTGTGGTGCTGCTGCTGCTGTGTGGGCAGTATGCACGGTGGGCGCGGATGGTGGTGCCACCACCCCCACGAACTCCACCACCTGATTCAGCTTTACCTGCGACTCCACGCTGTCGTACAGCTGATGGGGGGATGTGTATGCATGCACGGGCACCAGTGGGAGGGAGGGAGAGAGGTGCTGTTATAGCGAGTGCCCATGGTGCTATCACCACCCCCACCAACTCCACCACCTGGTTCAGCTTGACTTGGGACTCCACACTGTCGTACAGCTGATGGGGGCGATGCATGCATGCAGGAGAGCGAGAGAAGAACAAGGAGTGAGTGTAGCGAGAGCATGCACAAGCAAGTGACACCAGAAACACGGAGTGAGGCACACAGAGAGTGACCGGGACGCGTACACGCAGTGAGCCACAGAGAGAGAGTGAATGGGGTGCGTGCACGCAGTGAGCATGCTGCTCTATCTCGCACCTTGACAATGCAGGGCAGCAGTGGGGGGCCATGGGAAGCAGAGGCAGAGGGCCCGAGAGGGAAGTGCAGATCCACAAACGGAGGGGGGTCGCCAGCAGCAGCAGTGCTGCCGGGCTGTGCCATGGTGTTGCTGCTGCTGGTGGGGATGGCAGCGGCTGTGGTGTTGGCAACTGCTGTGGTGGCCTGGAGGGGAGGGAAGCAAGAAAAGCATGCAGGGAGAGGAGGAGTCGGGATGGGGGAGAAAGTGGGGACAAGAGGAGCAGGAAAGAGAAAGGTGCCGTCCTCCGCACACTATGCAGGTCAGCGAATTGTTTCTTTACCAGCAATTCTCCCTTAACTCACACTCCTCCCAACCCGCCCACACCATTCCACCCCTTCCCCCGCCGCACCCACCTTCCCCCGCAACACACCCCACTCTCTGTCCCCCGATTCGACGAGGCAAACCTGTGGAGTGTATGCGAAAGGGAAAGGGCGGCCGCCCTGCCTTCCCTTTTGAGAATTCACGTACCTGTCTCTTGGATTCCCCTGCCTCGCTGGGAGCCACCCTGGTTTCCACGTCCATGCCCTGCAAGCACCCAGACCAATGAGGCATAGGAAGCATAAGAACCATAGGAAGCATAGGAAGGCTCAAATGAGGCGGCTTAGATACATCCTGCCTGTGCGAGATGCTGACCTGCAGGCACCGAGAGCGTGAGCAGTGGGAGCATGAGTGAGAACGTCTCTAGCGGCGCCTCAAGTACCTTGCGGTGTAAACACTTGTTCTGCTTACACTTGATACACTTGCGGGAGTGCTGTGAGAACAAGGTTTGGGTAACAGAGTGAGCAGATGACACAGGTGGATCAACAGGGTGAGCAGATGACACAGGTGGATCAACAGGCACAACGAAGGAGACCCAAGGAAGACTGACTCAGCTGGATTCAGCTGATGTCCAGACCCACCATAAGTTCAGCGTCCCCCTCCTCTCTGCCCCTCTTCTCCGCCCCACCGCCCTCCTCCCCCCCGCTTCCCCCCTCCCCTCTCCCTCGGTTCCCCCTCCCCTCTCTCCCCCCGTCCCTGAGAGCCCGCGCCCATGGCTGCTCCCCCGGCACCTGGTGGGGGGAAAGGGGAGAGGAAGGAAAGGGGGGACGGATACCCAGGGGGGAAAGGGGAGAGGAGGGGGTGTGGAAGGAGGGAAGGACGGGGAAGGGGGGAAGTGTTTGGGAGAAGGATGACATGGAGACAGAGAGGAGAAGAGGAGGGGGGGAGAATTGGTGGAGCGAGAGAGAAAGACGGACATAGATGAGGGATGTAATAATAAGAAAAATACAAAACAATCCCAGTGGGCGGCAAGAGAAAACGAGGCTTTGAGTGTGGAGCCAAGAAAAGCTGTCCACTTGCACTCACCGGCACGCAGTACAGCAGCCGCCTCTCCCAGATACTGCCAAAATCCGCCGCCCCTTCCCCCAGCCCCTCCGCCCCGTCTCCCCCCATTCCCCCCCCGCAGTCCCCATCAGTGTACTTGGTTGTGCGCCAGGGGGGAGAGGGGGGGGCGGAGGAGCCTGAGGGGGAAGCGGATGGGGGCTGTCTGCTTCGTTTGTAGAGGCCCTGATAAAACTCGGTGCCCCACATGTCCTGTACCTGCAGAAACGAGAGACGGTACAGCAATAGAGTGGAAGAACAGAAAAGCACGCTTTGAGCTTGGCAGCAACAGGCAAAACCAAGCCCACACAGGCAGAAGTCACATGCATGTTAAAATGAGACAATGCATGTCCGAATGAGTCGACGCATGTCAGAATGAGTCAACAAAAGCCCCGGAAAAATCGAATCAAGGAAGAGTGTGCAAGTCAAGGCGAGTCAACGCGAGTCAAGGCACTGACCATGCCTCGGAATCGGACAAGCGAGCCCACCGGCACGTGATCCACACCCACTGAGTTGATCTCAGGCACCTGGCGGGTAAAGGTCGCGAGAGGCGGGGAAAGGTGAGGGGTTAGAAAAACAAAGGCGGTTGAAATACACGTGAATTTGAGTCCAGCCAAAATGCGCGTGATCCACACCCACTGGATAAATCCCCGGGACCTAAGGAGGGAGTAGAAAGCAAGGAAGGTATGGGTTTATATTGACCCTGCAGGTGTGGGGACCGGTTCTGTGCAGTGCAGAACAGTTTCGAAAGCGTAAGGTTGCGAAGCGCAAATGAATAGTCGCACCAACAACTCGAGTATCACAGGTCTAGGCGGAAACAAATCAACGCTTCCCACCTTATCTATGTTCCCATCGCGGAACAGCTTGTGTCACTTTTGAAAACTGACACAAGCTCAAGAGTGACACTAGCTCAAAAGTGACACAAGCTCCACCTTATCAATGTTCCCATCGCGAAACAAGAATTCATCGACGAGCGTGCGAACTCCCCAGTCTCCTTCCGCCAGCTGTCGCTTCATCGCCTCCTGCGCGGCCCCGCCATCGCCGCCGCCTTGTCCGCCGATTTGTGCGGCGCTGCGGAGCCGGTGGACCTCGCGATCGAAGAGGACGCGCACCGCTCCCAGGGGGTTGGCAAGGAGATCGAAGGCGGGACCACCCATCGCTAGCCACTGGCGTTCCGCGACTGGCGCTCTGCGACTGGCGGTCCGCCACTGGCGTTCCTGAGAGCACAAGTTGATGACGGTCTTTTGGTCTACCGAGCAAATATCTGTACAGATTCGTGGAGTGCCAGGAAGGAAGGAGAGACGTGGGTGGAAGGCTAAGGCAAATGGTTGACAGTGGCTTGGCTTGTCAACTGGTTACCCGTCGCTAGTAGCTGGCAGTGATTATCACGCTGAGAACCGCAGATTGCAGGTGAACTCTTGCACGAGCGACGGAGAACGAACAGCTGACGATGCCCAACGACGTATGCGAGGGGCGAGAATAAAGTGGAAGACAACAAAGATCGGGTTACCAGCTGAGTGCGATCTACTATTGGCATGCTACCAGAGAAATACATTTCTAATTATGCAAGACTTAACAAAGTGACATGTGTGTTATGGTTTCCCGTTCCATCCTTCTCCATGCGATCATGTTTTGAGTTTTATGCCCGAACAGCAGCAATAACATTTCACTAGCATTGCCTACATTATCTACAACTCATCAACACTTTTAGCAGCACAATTTTCAATTTCTATGGGCTACGGTAGACACGCGCTAGCATCCTGTGATTAGGAAGATGGTGTCACCAAACAGCAATGTCAGTGTTGTTCAATGTCAGCAGCTTTGGCAACCTCATTGGTCTTGTTGCAGCAGCAGCGGTAGATAATGAGTGCGATGAAAACGACGAACAACAAAATGGAGATGGCAATGAGCAGTCAGCTCCACCACGAAAGACCGCATGACCTATTGCACTGGTCTCCCTGGTACACTTGACCTGATATGATGCAGGAGGCGGACGGGAGAAGAACAGGGGAATGTCAAGCGCAGAGTGAGTGTGCTTTTATTCTTGGAAACGGCACACCGCATAAAGCAGTTGGGTGCAAGCGGGTCACCACAGGCCTCAGATAATGTACACCGGAATCACAAGCCAGCATCACCAATTCCTAACCGACAACAGCTGGAGAAAAAAGGACTGAGAGAAACCAGGGTTTTAGCAAGACGCACCAGAGCTACCATTGGTGGTGTTGGTCGAATCAACCCAAATGGGCTCGAAGCTAAAACTGCAACCACTGCTTGTCGAAACGCACAGCTGCAGGGAGCAAGTTCCGCAACCAATCGTAATGTCATGCATGATGTGGTCGATGAGGTTCATCAAGGTCCAATGCGGTCCAAGAAGGGGGGAGGCACAAGAAGGAACACAAAAGTTTTCTTTTGAACGGAGAGCAAAGAGCAATGAGCAATTCGAGCCACTTCTCCACTTTCCATCACGGAGCTAACGGGTGAGTAAGTAAACCGCGATCTTGGGTGATGATCCATTTGGCAGGTGAAACAAGAACGCGCAGAAGTGAGTCTGAATCAGAATCATCTTGGAGTGACATACCGAGCATGCTTCGACGCAGGCCGTAACGACATCGGACGCGTTCTGTGGGTTCTTGCAGTCGTAGTAGGTAGTTTTGGTAGAAGCTGCTACGCCGCAGCGTGCGAAGACTATGAGAAAAGTAGCAACTGCTAGTACCACGCTCCTCTTGCGGGGGATGAAAACGCCATGATTTCGAGAGGTGTAGTTGGTGAAGAATCAATCAGATGGATGAAGCACTATCACTATGCAGCCTGATAGATAAATTACTGAGAACGTTGAAAATACGAAAGACAACGACCACTTTCTGGTAGACTCAGGTGTTGATGGTGATATATAGCCATTTCCAGCATAGAGAACCTCGCCCTGCTGGGTCTCCGCGTCGCGACGCACATTGCGGAAAAGGCAAGCTCGGTAAGTGGCGTCTGCGTGACTTCTCGTCGCATTTGCACTAACATTATTAGGGACAAATAATGGTAGGCGAGGAGGGTACCAGAGAGTAATGTTGCGAGTAACTTGCACGTGACAATTGTGTCCCGGTATAGTGCAGCGGAAGGAAGTCATAGCGTCATTGCACAATTACACCTGGTCCTCCTTATTTTCACCAACCCAACCTTGTTTTTGTCAAACACCAAGTGTTTCTTTTATTTTAGTGAGATGGACATCCTGAATTATTTTAAGTTTAATGAGACCTTGGGGCTATTATTAAACAGCCAGGAGGCATTTCAGATACCGTAGGAGACTATGGAGCTAATGAAACTCACACTTACGGTAGTGGTTTGATAAAATGGCGGATTGGCATTGAGAGAGTTGCTCCTAGCCGTCATTTCCCACAGCTTGTCTCACCAGTCCTTACACTCGCCTCACCTGCAGGATCCGGGCCCGTGCCTCCTCAATGGGGTGTGGGAAGTCAATCTTCCTGTCCAGCCACCCCGAGCGCATGAGCGCCGGGTCCAGGATGTCGGCCCGATTCGCGGCTGCCACCACCTGACTCGCCCCAAGTGCATGAGAGCGGGTTTGAGGATCTCAGCTCGATTTGTGCCAGTAGCGACCAGACATGGTGTGAGGTGAATGGGGGTGAGTGGAGTTGAATTCGGTGGGGGGATGAGAGGGACGTGGGGCAGGACGGTCTGAGTCACCCCTAGTGCATTGGAACGGGCTCCAAATGTCGAGATTAGCTAGGAAGGAATGTGTATTAGGTAAGAGGGAGGGGGTACAAGGATGTCGAGATAGTTGGGTTGTACCCTCTAAGGTGTGACCCCTACACAACATAGAGTAAGATTAACATAACAATGTGCTTTGACACACCCCCATAGGTGAAGTAGGGGATAGCCAAACCTAACAGTGGTCACAAGACCAGTCAAGCAAAAGAACAAGCAAGGCAAAGCCCACGGTGGATCTCAAGGACACCACACAATCTGAGCACAAGCAGGCGGCCACAAGGCCAGTTCACATGCAGATTTATAATAGCAAGGCAGTACACCGATCACAACCTAGCAAGAGTAAACATGCAGGTATAAAGATATATAGCAGTGTACAACAAGAGCAAGTCAAGCAACCAGCACGTGAGGCAGAGTGGGCACAAGCCCAAGAGCAGTGCAGAAACGCTGATGATCACCAGCCCCAAGGGCCTTGGTGAAGACATCAGCAGTGTTGGCCCGAGAGGCCACGAAGGTAAGGCGCAGCTGACCACGATGCTGCAGCTCACGCGCAAGAAAGTAGCACAGAGCAATGTGCTTCATTCTGTGCTCCAGTCTCTGCTCGCGTCACAAGGCAAGCATTGCCTTGTTGTCGACGTACAGAACTAGAGGAGAACGAGGCCGCTCCCCCGAGTCGGTCAGCAGGTAGGTCAGCCATGGCCCCAGCGCAGATCTCGGCCTCACAACTGGAACCAAGCACAGAAGAAGAACGAGTGGACCTCCACGAGACAGAACCAACGCCAAGACTGAAGGTGTAGCCCTGTGACGAACGCTGAGTCGCCTGGTCATCGGCCCAAGAAGCGTCAGAGTGTCCTGTGAGGACCACCAAACCCCGTCCTCCAAGCACGAGCCTCATGCCCGATGTGCTGCACAAGTAACGCAGTACCCTCTTCGCAGCATCAAAGTGCACCTTTCGGTGTCTACCGGGTGCCACGTAGCGAGCCAGAAGGCTGAGAGGGTACGCGAGGTCAGGTCGTGTGCACGTCATCAGGTACATGAGGCAGCCCAGAAGCTCTGGGTACGGACCACTCGGCTCTACGGGCTCGTCCGAAGGTGGAGCTGAGAGCGAGTGGCCGGTAGCCACAGGAGTGGGCTGTGGCGAGGAGTACGTGAAGCGAAAGCGCTGAAGGACCTGGTGCACCATCTGTGACTGAGTGAGGGTGATGGTGCGCCGTGCTCTGTCCCGGGTGATCTGCAAGCCAAGATAGCTCCGCAGCTCACCCGGGTCAGTGCAGGTGTGTCTCTCCTACAGCTCCGCCTTCACTAGGGTCAGTGCCTCAGTGTCAGCTGTAGCAAAAACCAAGTCTTCGACGTACACGAGGATGTAGAACGGCGGCAGAGTAGTGTCGATGCGTAGAAACAGCGACGGGTCAGCAGTCGAAGGAGCAAACCCAAGAGCCGCAAGTGTCGTCCTCAGTGTGTCGTGCCACTCACGGGGCGCCTGACGCAGGCCGTACACTGGTCGCCGTAGGCTCCATTGGATACCCGCAGGAAACGACCCAGTGAAGCCCTGTGGACGGCGCAACCAGATGGCCTCGTGAAGGCTACCCTGCAAGAAAGCTGTCGAGAAGTCGAGGGAGTGCAGCTCGTAGTCACGCTGAGCTGCAACGTGTAGCAACACCCAAAGAGTGGTCATCTTTGGGGTGGGGGAGAAGGTCTGAAAGAAGTTGACCCCCTCACGCTGACTGAAACCTCGAGCAACGTAACGTGCCTTGAAGGCAAGCGGAGAACCCGGCGGCCGCTTCATCCTGAAAATCCACATGCCACTGACGATGTTCGCCCCAGGTGGGGGAACCTCATCAACGTAGGTGCCTGTGGACTTCCAGGAAGCCATCTCTGCGTCCATGGCTGTCTGCCACTAAGAGGAGTACTCACCCGAAATCGCCTCCCTGTAGGAGCGCGGGGTGGGGATGTCAAGTGCATTCGGGTCTCCCTCAGGGGCAAGCAGCATGGTCGTGTGATGGGGTGAAGCGGCAGCAAGGCACTCCAGCTCCTCCTGTCTGTCCTCACGAACGTCACAGCCAAGGGCAGTACAGCCAAGAGCAGTCTCACCCCCGACGGACGGAGGACAGGCAGGGACAGGGTCAGAGACAAGACTCGCAAGGTAGTCTAGGCGGTACACACCAGCAAAGTCAACAAGCTCAGCTACTATGGCAGACGCAGTAGGAGACGAGAACGTAGGGTCCGTCACAACCGTAGCAAGAAGGCGAGTAACAGACGGACTGGACGCACGAGCAAGGTCAGACGGAGGGTCAGCAATGTCAGGCAGAGAGGACGCAGGAGGTAGCGGTAGTACAACACGCTGAGGAACAGAGGAAGGACGGAGTGTCATATCGTGAGTGCCGGGGACAGCCGAAGCACGCGGACGACGAACACGAGGAACACGAGCACGGACAGCAGCTCT